ATGAATGAGTTTGGTTCATTAGTATGTTAATCGTTTTAAAAATTCTTAACGACCCGGTTTAGGGAGTTAATGTTTTATTTTTTTAATCGTTCACTTAATTTAGTAGTTACTTTTATAGTAGTTAAATTAGAATTACAATCATTAACCCACGCATTAGAATGTCTAGGAATTTACTTTACTTTTCTGTGTGTTTCAGACAGTTAAATTAGCGAATTCCGCTCCGAATAGCATTCCTTTGAGAACGACTCGAGGTCAGGTAGCTCGATTACCAAATTTCCAAAATTATACTAAACAGGTGACGATCTCTATGACGATAAAATTTCGTTATTAATGTACTACTGTGACGAAAAATAAGGTTTACATGACGAATTTTATCGTCATGTTTTCTGAAATTTCTTGTAGTGTAATTAATTAATCCATACACCTAAGTCTCAATAATATTATTAATATAATATTATAATGAAACATGATAGCAATTAACAACTCACTTGACCACAAGATTATACTACTATCATTTTTTTTTTTTTTTCAAATTTAAAATTTTAAATTTCTACTAAGTTCTTCTCATTGTAATTTCATCAAACATATTATCTACATGTTATGTTTTAAAGTTTAAACATTACACAACATAAAAGAATCATAGCAACCAACTAAATTCGTGTTTTAAAGTTTAAACATTAGTATTTATTTCATTAGTGATTTATTTTCACAACTTATAGAACTTACATAATAGAATTAAAGAACGTTCATAATATAAATAAACAACTTAAATTCTAACTGTAACTGAATAATGGTAAAGAGACATGATAATTATAAGCCTATTGCTGGTAAAATTATGACCTTACAACTTTTTACCATTTTAACCAAACTTTTAGAATTTAGCAAATATAACATAACCTTGTCTATTTTTGGCAATTCGAATTACCGGGTCGAATTTCGGGCTTTGTCTGCAGAGGCGGCTGATGACATGGTGATTTCTGTTGAAGTGGCAATAAAAAGTATAAGCGAAGCTGGGGTTCGAACCTACGACCTCAAGGTTGAATGATAACATTGTAACTACCGCACCAACCCAAGTTATTTGTTAAATATAATAGCATTTAATATATATAGAAACTACATATGAATAAATCACATCAAATTTAAAATATAATATAAATTATATTAAATTCTATTAATAAGATATAAACTTATAATAATTAAAACATACTAAAATAAATTATACAATATTAAATAAAATAAAGTAAAATAAAGTAAGATAAATTATTTTATAATAGAGTAAGTTTAAATTAAATTAAATTAAATTAGATTTATATATTTCATATTTATTAAAATAATTTTATATATTTCATAATTATTAAAATATTTAAATATAGTAATTTAATAAATTATTTATATTATTTTTTATATAATTATTAAATAAATTATTATATTGAAGTAATCTTTCGTTATTTTATTATATTCATTTTTTCATATAATAAGTTAATAAAATTATTTATATTATTTTTTAGTTATTTATATATTATAATAAAATAAAAAAAAAATATTAGTTGAATATAGTAATTTAATAAATTATTTATATTATTTTTAAATATAATAATTTAATAAATTATTATATTCAGATTTTTCGTTATTTTATTATATTCATTTTTAATATCAAAAGTTAATAAATTATTTAAATTATTTTTTAATAAATTATTAATTAAATTTAAATAAAAAAATATTATTTGAATATAGTAATTTAATAAATTATATATATAATTTTAATATAATAATTTAATAAATTATTAATTATAATAAACTCAAATAATATATCTTTATTTTATTATATTCATTAAAGATTTCTATTTGTTTTAATTTATTATTTTAATTGATTTATGTTTTATTTTTTTTATTTTACTTCGCCATTTTCTATACTTTATTATCTAATATTATATTATTTTCGATTATTATTATATAATTTATTATATTATATTTTAATTATTATAAGTTTACATCTTATTAATATAATTTTAAATTTATATTAACTTTTAAATTTAATTTGATTTATTCATACGTATTGTCTATATATATTAAGCGATTTAATTTTAACATACAACTTGGAGTGGTGTGGTGATATTAATAATGCCATAATACAAGTTTGAGGTCTCGAGTTCGACCCCCAGTGTTGCATAATTTTTTTTACTGCAACATCACCAGCCACGTCACAACAATTCGCCATGTCATCAGCCACATCAACATAAATCGCTATGTAATCAGTCACCTCTGCAGACAAAGCCTGAAATTCAGCCCGGTGATTTGAATTGCCAAAAATAGACAAGGTTATGTTATATTTGTGAAATTCCAAAAGTTTGGTTAAAACGGCAAAAAGTTGTAAGGTCATAATTTTACTGGCAATTAGGCCATAGTTATATTCTAAGTTCTGAAAACTGAAATTACAACTTTAATTTTTATTATGGTTAAACTTTCATTAATTCTTATTGAATGAATAAAATATTAAATTTATAATATGTCGTAGATATCTTCACATCATATAATGGGTGGCTCACAACAAAGCACTGGCCCTTTTTTTATTCAATATTAAGAAATTAAGAAATCAGAAAGACAACTTTAAAAGTAAAGCACAAATTTCAAAGTTGGGAGTACTCCAAATTCGTCTCCCCAAAACTAAACCCTGGAATCGTCCTCTTCCTCATCGCCATATCCATGCTTTGCATCGCCTCTGTAGAAATTAGCCCCCCCTTTATTTTAGAGATTTAAGCTAAACGACGTCATTCGTTGTTTATTAATAAAAAAAAAAAATCTACCAAGGGCACCGAGAGCCTGCCTCAGCCGCCGAGAGCCCGCCTCAGCCGCCTAGTCCCGCCGAAACTGCGTAGCCACCGTGACCGCCGAGGCCGACTAGCTCCGCCGAGGCCCGCCTAGCCCGCCTGGCCGATTTTTATGGTCGATTTTAGCAAATCGTGGGCGGCTCACCTCCGCGTAGCGCCTAGGCGGCCGTCTAAGGCGATTTTTAGAACAATTCTTTAAGATATATAACCATTGAGCTACATCTCCTTATCCAACTCACTTTAAATTTCACATTATCTTTTGGAAACTCACTTTAAATTTCACATTATCTTTTGGATACATCTACCATCATAGAAAGACTACAAAACCATGAAACTCAAAAGATTACATCGAAGATGAATGTGGAACACGCCTTTCGTGAAACTCGGATTCGTCACAAAAAGTAAGTATTTTATGAAAATACTCGAGATGAACCAATTTAAGGGGCTGAAGAATATTTTTGAGTAAAATATTTTTATTTTTTTTTCAAATTGTTGGTAATGTTCTTTCTTCTTTCCAACTAAGATTTGTGCAGTTTCAAAAGTGCGAAGAGATTTTTGGATTTCTATTCAACTTGGCCAAGTTGAAAAACATGGATGATGAAAGTATGAAGCAATCATGTGTTGAACTTATTGAGGACGTTTTTAAACATGAAGTTAATTATGAAATTAATGCACTCGAACTATTCTCGGAGTTGCGATTACTGAGAAAGGCATTACCGGGTGGATTAACTAAACCAATTGAAGTCTTGGAATAAATCAAATATTGTATCATGGTTTTCCTAATGCTTGGGAAGCTTACAGAATATTGTTGACCATCCCAATTACTGTTGCATATGCTGAAAGGAGTTTTTCCAAGCTGAACTTGATAAAAAATTATCTTCGGTCAACTATGTCT